ATGCAACTCATTGCAATTAATTTAGAATAATTATTTGTTTAATTTGCAATTAAACTGTTTTATTTGTTTATAAGAACAATTCAAATGCAACTGAACAAATATTTAATTAATAATCAATTGTGAATTTAATACTTACAATACTTGGTAAGTTTTTCAGCTATATCGTATAAATAGACTTGAATATTAACTATTGATCAGTTAGTTTTGGATTTACAAACCGAGATATAAATTCATTGAATAACAGACTAAGGATGTTGTCCTCACACTTCATACTTTTATTCTTATTGATCACCACTTTGCTGTTACTATGCGCTCCTGCAGCAGAAGCAACATTGCTTTTGTTCCTGTGCTTGGTTAGATCACCATTGTGTCCATTCAGAACAACAACTACATAATAGCATGGATTTGGTAAACTAATTGCAAACAATAAATAAAATTATGTGCATGTAATATAATTTGTTTTTTTTTCGTCCATTATTAATAATTTTCCATTAATTAGTTATTAATGATTAAATTATAATTAATCATTCACACATCCTACTGTTAAGCTTCTTTTTACATAAAATAATGCGCTCTTGTAAGTTTCAGGTTAGTGGTTTCTTTATAATGTGTTTGATGGATTGTCTCAGAGCGTTCTCAATCCTTTTAGGCGTATTTATTTCATATACTCCATTTTCTCATTTGTCTTTAGTAAGAGTTCTTTAGTGGAAATGCACCAATATGGAAATGGAAATCCAATCACCATATTTTTAGTATTTGGTATGATAGATACTCTATCATAAAAGAGAATTTTTTGAACATTTGTTGGTTTTATTTTTTTTGAAATTTGCTGCAATATTCATGTTATTTTTTCCGGTGATCAAAACTGATTTGGTCTGTCTTCTAAGCGATGTCATATCTTTGTGAGTTTCACATCTCCTTGTCTGAAATCCTCCCAAGAATGTTAAAGAGTTCAAACGAATTTCGTCATGTTTGTTGAGACATCGATTATACTCTTCATTTTATCTGTATATAATATATTAAAATATGTTGATAGTTTATTGTATCGCTTACTTAATAAAAAAAAATAAAAAAAATGTGTGCATCAAAGCACACGGGTCATCAAATAATGACCCGTTATGATACCACGGATTAGCGTTGTTCGTACGGGGACTAGAAGGACCACGGTAGCCATGGTCTATACCTATGTTGGAAGGTACGACCAGGCAAATTAATCAATCCAGCAACTCTATAAGCTTGGTCAAGATCTTAATTTTGCAGAATGACAAAAGGTTTGCAAGGTTGATACGAAAAGAAGATCAGTAGAATTTGCATCTTCTAACCAGTGATGGAAACTGAAACATGTGGAATACAGTTTCTTCATTCCTCATTCGTAGAGCCACAATTATTACAATTGTCAGTTTGGATAAGGTAGACTTTGAGATCTGAATTCGCATACGTCTGTTTTTTTAGTTATATACTTATCCTAAAGTCTTCAATCTATATATAATAAACGCTGCAAGGTTTAATAAATTTTTATTTTGCGCTTTAATTTGTGAAAAAATCATAAAGCACAATAAAGTAATTCTTTACATGTTATTTTAATAATTACATTGCATATACTGAATTTAATATTGACAAAAAATAGAAATTATCGACCCATGCCCTCAGTGTATTGCCTAATGACAATATCCGGACACGATGAAGTATAGTCACAGTCATATACAAAAAGGGTATAAACTTAACTCTACAGAAATATTTGATGGCATACTCTACCCTCATCCGCAAATTAAATATCACAAAAAATAAATAAATAAGAATATATACCAGTCTCCGTACGTCCGTGTTTCTTTGTATGAGAAGCTACAATATCGATAGATATTCAAAAAGTCGTAAGTCCAGTCCTCTAAAAGTTTTCATTTACGCGTTTCGTCTGGGAACTATCTAGACTCATCAGAGTGGAGAAATATGTAAAAATAATAAAGAAATAATAACACCTAAAACCTGAAACTTATTGTTAGCACTCTTACATACTATAATATGTTGCCATTGCCAGTAGCCTATAAAGTTATATAGTAAATATATTTTTTCCATATCGTAGATTTCCTTTGTAAATTTCTTTATGGTCAAATTGTATTTCCTAACGGTAATTGCTTTACTTTTGAAGAAGAGATGAAGTATATCTTCTTTTAAGGTATTAACCAACGATGATACGAAGTTCTTTACACCGTTTTGAATTTTTTCTGGACGTCGCTTTATCTTTCGACGATTTTTTGGTAATGTAGATGAATTCATTGAAAGTGATGCCCATGATGTTAACAACGAAGATACATCGGATTCCATCTCGGATGCTGTTGGAGCTACTGTTGATGACAGAGAAGATGGTGATATTGTTATAGGCAATGATGTTGTAAAAGATGTTGCAGCAGGCAATGGCATCGATGCTAGTGGAGCATGTGCTGGTGAAACATAAGGTGTGGATTTCATTTATTCATTTGTCGCACGGGTTCTGTAATAATTTCAATTAAAGATGGTTATATTAAAAAAAAAATTACTTCTGTTATAATTATATAGCTAGTGTAGTTTACTACAACAGATAACACTAGAATACTATAGAATAATATGAACGGTATTGGTTCGAAAGTTTCATTAAAGAATAACAATGCATTATAGTATTTATAATATTTATGATTTTGCATTTACCAAAAACCAAAATTTGTATTTGTGCTTTTAACATATTTAAAAAATGTTATTACTGCCAACAAACAGTTTTTGTTATATTTCATCAACTTTCTTAAAAGATTTTACCTTCGAGTATATCTATTGCGGCACGAATTGTGCACCAAGCTTTTCCCTTCAATGAATACATTTTGTAATGCGGCCGTTTTTTATTTCATCAAAATTTTATTATTTTTTACTAAAATTATTTATTGTTAAACTTGTTTATTATTTAAATGTCTTATTTTTATTGAAACCGCAAAATTAGCAATACAAAATATTGCGCGACCATCCTTTTAGTTGAATACTAACATAAAATTGAAAAAACAATACACACAAAAGTAATTTTGACATTTCGCATAAACAGACTGTTTGACATTTCGCTTCACTGACAGTTCTCTGCGACAAAAATTTTATTAATTCTTGAGAGACAATTGATACAATTTATGGCGCTCTTGTGGTAAAAATGTTCGAAGCGAATAAACGCAGGATTTGAGTGTTGGTTGTTGATCATTATTCGTAATAATTATTTTGCCATACAGTGAAACCTGTTATTATCACGTGTCTGAGTTAACAGAAATTTATAGAAAAGATGGTGTGAAACTGTAAAGTTTTAGATTAAATTAAAATAGTAATTTTTTATATACTTATCCAGGGTTTAGAAGCACAACACCATTAAAAATAATAATACAAATACTAAATTTTTAAAATTTTTGCAACTTTGTTATTAATATATATTACCATTTTTAATTAATAGGGCCTATTTACGCTATCATAAACGTGAGATGAGCTTGACGACAACATGAACAGTTTACACTATCATCAACTGTCATGAAGCGTGAAATTTGTTTTGATTGTGTAAACGTATAGAATGCGTGTGTAGTAGTGCATAGCACAGAAATTTAAATTCAGCATAAAAATTACTTAAAAGGTGTTCGAAGCTTCAACAATGGATCTAAATAAGGAATTACGCACAACGCTTGCTGCTCAAAACACGACTTAATTCGTTTCATAATAAAAATCAGAAAACCTACAAACACTCTCATCTATCGGAAACCGGTTTTCAAGTTCATGTGCATGTTACGTTTATGATAGTGTAAATGGGCTCATATATATTTTGACAAATTTGATATTCAGTGTCCGACTTTAGTAAACGTTTCATTTTCTATTTATATATATTTTATTGGCATATTACATATTACATTACATAGATATATAAAAAGCACTGCTATAGGAAAATATATTAATAATTTTTTTCAATCTTTGTAATGCATTGCCGTCCTGAAAATGACTTGACATTTTTCAAAGTGCCATTATAGACTTGATACGTATAATTAATATTTCTATATTTTACCCATTTCTTTTAGCTTGTCTCTAATAGACTTAAGAACGCACATTTCCAAATCGAAAAACTCGTCGACGTTCAAATTGCATTTTCGTACTAAAATCGCTTGAGTGTTGAAAAAATGGCCAACTTCATCATCATCTTCCTTCAAAGTATTTGCCAATGATGTTAAGAATTTTTGGGCACCGTTTTCAGTTTCTTCAATTCTTCGTTTTTTCCTTCGACGATTTTTTGGTAATGTAGATGAATTAGCAGATGGTGATGTCAATGATATCAGCAACGGTGATGTGTCCGATTCAATGTCGGATGTCATTTGAGCTGAAGATGATAACAGTGGAGATGGTGGTATTTTACTAGACAATGTTGTAGTAGTGGGTGAAGCGGCAGCAGGTAATGACGTTGATGCTAGAGGATCATGTGCCACTGGAAATAATATTGGTGCAAGAGGATCATGTGCCGGTGACAAATCGGGCATTAATTCTAATGGTTCACTTTTTCGGCGGGTTCTGTAATTATATTTTTAATAAACAATTTCATTTTCGATTATATTTCAAAAAATTATTTGTTGTACAATAATAAATCTTCTGCAGTTTATCACAACAGGGAATTATTGTTACATAGTGCAGCGGATTAAAATACATACCCTTTTGATTCCATGGTATCTTTTAGGAATAACAGTGCATTATAGTATCTATAAGGCTTTCGGCAATCCGTAACGTTGCCATTGCTACTTTTCATGTTGGCACTATACCGCACAAATGAATCTCGCAATGATCGCCAAGCGTTTCTAGCATGCTCTAAAATATAAAACAAATATATATGATATGATATGGACTATGATATAACTACTTATTTTTTAAATTAAACATTTATTAAAAACAAAATATTGTTATAATAAAATTTCTTTGTTGTTGTTGTAACTCGCTGGGACCTACTTGTGAAGTCCCTTTGGGGGTGTTGAACGGCTCTTGATCGTCGCTGGCGACGAATGGTTTCGGGACGTAGACCTAACCGTTCTTGGTATCTGTGACTACCAGTAATTATTTCACTTCAATAATGTTTTGAAAACATTAAGATTGTTTACCTTCGGGTATATTTATTGCGGCACTAATTTTACGCCAAGCCTTTTCTTTCAATAACTGTAATTTGTATTGGGGATGCTTTTTATTGTATATAATTTCATTAACACGTACTAATGAAATCAAATGTTCAACTTCTTTATTATTTAAATGTTGCATTTTTGTTGTTCTTGTATAAATAAATCACAAAAATGCAATACGAAATAATATATGCACTTTTAAGCCAATGTTTAATTAAAACTAATGTTCAATGCTCAATTATGCGATTCTTCGTGCGGCTTTATGGTTCATAATAAGTTGGTTGTCGCACTGCGCAGTATAAACGTTGCCGAAACTAAGATAATGTATGAAAATATTTCTCAAATATTGAGAAGAACTGAAATAGCAGAGCACAATGGAGCAAACAGTCGAGAGTACGCAACAAAAATCAACGTTCAAATTGTTAAACTTTATATTGTGACATCTGATGAAATTTACATATAACACATTTATTATAATTTTCGTAATAATTAAAAATATGTAAAATAAGTAAAAATAATTTCGCGATTTTACATAAATATTGAGAAGAAACAAAATAGTAAAGCACGATTGAAGAGAGTTTGACATTTCGATATGTTGACAGTTCTATGCGATAACAATTGTTCGAAATCTTAACCGACAATCGATATGTTGGGCATTGTTGTTGTAAAATGTACACAACGAATAAACGCAGAATTGTGTGTTGGCAATTATTCGCGTAATCATTTTGTGGTACAGTGAAACCTGTTGCGTACGATGCTATTATACATATGTGAACAAATGTTGAAGTTAACTGAAATTTATGAAAATGACAGTGTCATATATTCGTAGATTTTATGACACGAAATTAATAAAAATTTATTTAATACATTTAAAGTTTTTAACAAAAAAGATAAAGAAAGGAAACTGAGAGGAAATTTTGATTCATTGTGCCTCTTTGTATAATGTCACAAAAACACTCTTAACCGATTTTTAACGTCAAAAAACCAAAACAAAAATCATGGTGAGTAGGGACCGGATGGGCAAATTAGCAAGACCGGGTGGGGAAAATCATCTCGCAAAATTGTGTAGCATTAGGCTTTTTGTTTTTGTACTGCGCAATATTTTCACCTCATTACTTAAAATTTTGTATATTATTTGAATTATCCAAAAAATTGTACACATGATATTGCTACTATATGCATAAGGAAAATTGGTTTAAATTTGTTTTTGTACTTACTAATTATGATTCAAGCGAACGAGTTGAATGAGCAAAATCAAGAACAAAATGGCCTGTCCTTACGCTGTATATGTTGTCCTTACGGTTATTCATTATTACGCTAGTAAATCATTTTAATGATTTTAGGGTTTGAGGTTGAGTTTGATTTTTATTTCGAAATAAACTTTATTCACACATGTGGACTCATTATGACGCATTGAAACGTTACAGAATTTTATGGTATATGAGCCGAGATGGTTTCGCCTCAATATAACTTTATAACTATTATAACTATTATAGATAATCTTAAATGAAATATAAATAACGACTAAAAAGTATAGAAATATGGAAAGTGTTTTTAAAGTTTTACGTTCTACATTTACAATTCTTTAAACTTGTTTATTTATTGATATAACCATCTCTTATACTACATATATGGCAAAAATTTTACTGCTCTTTTGCTCCTCTTATACTATATATCTACTAGTGCTAACATTACTTCAATCTAACAGATTTAAAAGCTACACTGTGCCAAAGTTTAAAAATATCTATTTAAGGTGTATTCTATGCAAAAATATTTGTTCTCTAATGTGTTTGTGACCGAATTCAATCAGCAAATAGACTTGACATTTAAAAAAAACAGTCTTCATGATCTTCCTAGCTTCCTAGTTTCTTCCTAGTACTTTTTATTTCTTCTTGTTCTTCTTTATACCTTTAAATAATAAATTTAATTTTGTAAGTCGGATTAAGGTTTGAAAGTAACTTTAATCAATCAACTAGTTCTTTTTTAACAAAAAAGAAATATGATACCAATTCAATAATGTATTTATTTATCACTAAATCAGATATCATTTCTAATTTTTATCTTGTATATTGTCTTTGGAATAGTTAAAACGTGTCAATAATGTAACATTTCTATTACACATAAAGGAATATACAACCAACATGCTTCAAATGTGGATATATTCTAACCATGAGTCATCTTATAAACTGCTACAACAACCCAACCTACGACACCAGTCTTTTCAACGCAATCAAGAATAGTGACTACAATATAATAAAGCTACATCTATCCAAAGACATTAACTAAAATTTAGATATATGTAAATCTTAACATGAATGTAAGCATAGGGCGAAGGACCTAGCAGTCTAGTACTTTATTCTTAGTTAACTTCAAAAATAATTTTAATGTTAACTTACAAATTAATTAATAAAATACTTTTACACCAGCTAAATTAATGCATTTTCGTACTCAATTTGCGAATAGTTTCCAAATAACGCAATTACTCATCATTCAATTGCGAAAAACTTCTTTGTGGTAACGTGTACAAGTGTTAATAAAAATAACGAAGACATTTTTGGAGTGCAATATAGACGATAGAATAAAGAGGATAATATAGATATAGTTTTAATCGTAATCCTGATGATGACTCTCATGGCGAGTCGAAGTATAGAATATAATAAAAAATATTAGACGTTGAATTATTTAACAAAAAGGGATCTACAGCTGGTTTCAAAATATATAAAAACTATTATAAAAAAATAGGCCGGTAAATAAATAAAAAATTGTATATTTTTGAAAATTTTAAATAAAAAGTAAAAATAATCTAATTAGTGTAGTTGGGTTTATTTTTATAATACATATTGTTTAATAATTTTTTAAAATTTAATATAATTAATTTTGAAACTTA